GGAAAGACTGTGGGCTGTCACAGACTGGAGGAAACTAAGGAGGCATGAGAACTAAATGCAATGTGGGATCTTGGATTGGTGTCTGGAACAGAGAATGGACATTAGTTGAAAAACTAATAAAATTTATATAATATTTATAGTGTAGTTAATAGTGTTCTGCCTGTGTTAATTTCTTAGTTTTGGTAAATGTACTGTGGTTATGTAAGATGTTAATAGCGGAAGCTGAGTGAAAGGCCTATGGGAATGCTGCTATTTTTGCAGCTTTTCTTAAGACCAAAATTATTTCAGAATAAAACATATAAAAATACTTCCTGCCATTGGGTATTCTGAGTACTTTTTAATAGCAGAGGGAATTTTTAAGTTCTTTAAATTTATAACTCTGTGTGTGTGTGTGTGTGGGCATACACATAAAATTTATATATCTACCAGTCAACACTTCCATAAATGCTAAATTCTATACATATATATATATATATATATTTTTTTTTTGCAGATACCTTTAAAAAAACCTTCATATTTCTATTCTTTTTTTCTGTCTACATTCTGTATTTCTTCCTGACTATGGTATCCTTTTGTAAACCGTCACAGCTCAACTCTCTTGCTGTTCCATGGGATCTTTATCTCTGAGCAAAGAGCACTGAGCCAACAGTCGAGGCCTGGGTGCCAGCATTCTTAGTTCTGTTTCAGTTGTAATGTTCTGGGGGGCAAGCAGCAAATTTGCCTGAATATTTTGTATACACAGCCATGTGCTTTTTTTTTTGTCTTGCCCTCAAAATCTGTTGGTTCTGTAGCAGACTTCACAACTTGCAGACTTTACTCTGATGTTTCCTTTGGATAGATCTTGTTGAGTGGCTCAGTGATAAGAATCCTCACCTTTCATGTGGAAGCCCTTGGTTTGATTCCCAGCCCATGCACTTCACATGCAGCCACTGCCTGTCTGTCAGCAGAGGCTTACATGTTGCCATGATGCTGAACAGGTTTCAGCAGAACTACTGGACTAAGATGGACTAGGAAGAAAGGACTGGTGATCTGCCAAAAATCAACCATTGAAAGCCTTATGGATCACAACGGTCTGTTCCTGAACAGGTCATAGCGATGGCACAGGATTGGACGGTACTTCATTCCATTGGAGTAGCCGTGAGTCAGGGGCCAATTGAACTGCAGCCAACTTTTTTTTTAAGGAAGCAATTGCATCTCTTAATTTTATCTTATTTTCTTCTTTAATGTGTAGCCCTTCTCACAATAGCCTCTAAGTTGTCTTATGGTTTCTACTTTGTGGGCTGCCCCATGTTCAGGCCTAGCATGGCCTGAGCACTGGAACATTCCTGAGGAAGGACCGTTTGGCTGTCTGGTTGGCATAACTTTCCTGTCCTTACAGGATGACACAAGAACTCAGGGACAGAGTCTCTTCTGCCCACCTGCATACATATAGTGCCAGCAGGATCTGACTGGGGTCTGCAGTCAGTAGAATACACCATTAATAAGTAACTGACATTTTTTGAGTAAACACACAAACCTAGTTTTTCAATGTTATTTTTGCCCAGGCAACATTTTGCCCCTTTTCCCTGGATTAAGGAGCTCTGGTGGTATAGTGGTTAAAGCACTTAACTGCTAACCAAAAGGTTACTTTTAACCCTAGCTGCTCTATAGGGCAAAGATGTAGCAGTCTGCTTCCTTAAAGATTACAGCCTTGGAAATCCTGAGGCAATTCTGTTCTGTCCTCTAGGGTCACAATGAGTCTTGAATTAACAGCAACCAGTTTTCTGATTATCTGGGTTATAGGCTTGGATTCAAAGGTAGGATTCAAATGATGGAGAAATTGTTTGACAGTGGAGATACCTCAGGGCTTTGGACAGCTTTATTGTCCTCACTACAAAAGACAATTTGGTTAGGTTCAACATATTATACTAGTTTAGGGTATTCCTTGGCCTCTGTGGACTATACAGTAGAAACCATTTGTGCTGCATCAGTCTGTTACTTCATGTTCCCACCTCCAGTTATTTCCCCTTCTATTTTACCTGTATATTGTGAGCAGATACTTAATTTCCTTAACTTGGCCCTCAAGAATGGTGAAATAGGTTAATATTCGTAGAGAACAGCACATACAACTGTGCCTGGCATGTAGTAAATTCTGTATAAGGGTTTGTTAAATCAAAAAAAGGAAAATGATCCTGCTTTCAAGGAGCTCACCACATATTTGGAAAGATAAGGTGCACAAATAGGAAACCACATACAGAGGTGTTGCTTTTGTTCTTTAGTGCTGCTATAACAGAAATACCACAAGTGGGTGGCGTGAACAACAGGGATTTCTTCTCTTATGGTTTAGGGGCTAGAAGTCTGAGTTCAGTGTGCCAGCTCTGAGGGCTGGGTGAAGGCCCCTTGACCTTGGGCTTCAGCTCTGCCTCTTGCTCTCGGTGCACTGGAGCTGGAGCCTTCTCTTAACTCAGGAAGCTGCTGGCTGCTGAGAGCGACAAACCCAAGGCTGACAAGTAAAATGACACAGTCCCAAGATTGTCAAGCAACACAGCAGGCCATTAGTTCAACAGTCCCAAGATCAGCAGACAACATGGCAAGCTGCTGAATGAAGACTCGGCTACATTCAGGGTCCATGCGTGCCAGGAAGCTCAGAGACCTTTCTCAAGTTTCTTCTTATGTGCTGAAGCAGACCACATCCCTAAGGCAGCTATTCAGCTGCTCACAGCAGATTCCACCATGATGTTGATTACCAGTCTCATCCTGGGGAATCACTACATCCAGCTGCCCAGTTGCTCAAAACCAGGCCTAGCCAAGTTGACACACAACCTTAACTACCACAGATGTATAGGGAAAACAACAACAACAATAAAACAACAACAACAATAAAACAACAACAACAAGAAGAAACTGCTCCTCAAGAGGCGTGGGAGAGAAGAGACAGGACATACCTACTGTGTGCTCTGCTCTAGACACCTCAGTATTTGTGTCAATAGCCAGACTCTTCACATTTTGTAGTTCAGGAAATTGAGGTTCATTGGCATGAAGTGGCTTAACTTGAAAGTTTCGTAAGATTCTGTGTGTGAAAGTGAGATTTGAGCACAGAACTGTATGAATTGAAAGCTCCTATTGCCACCAGGTTAGAGTAGATGGAGAAGGCTTTGAAAGGAATCTTGAAGCAGACCTTGAAGATAGGTAGAATTTACCATATGGAAAGAAGTAGGGAGAACATACAGGTTGTGGGGGCCAGGGAGAAGTGTGTAAATAGCATGTGAAAAGGTGTAGCAGTGGGAAGCATGAGGTGTGTTGAGGGAATGGGGAGTATATCCTGGTTTTGCTAGAGTGAGAGAGGAATGAGGGATATTGCTGGAGCATGGGTTGAAGGCAGATTATAATGGACCTTGAATTCCAAGTTGAGTTTGGACTTTATTTCATAACCCAATACATAAACCACTGATGGTGTTTGTGAAAGGGAGTGACACAAGCAAAAGAGTGTATGTGTATTGTGTTGTTGTTATGTGCCGTCGAGTCGGACCCAACTCATAGCGACCCCTCCTTGGTTTCCAAGGCAGTATCACTACGGAAGTAGATTGCCCCATCTTCCTTCCGAGGAGTGGCTGGTAGGTTTGAACTGCCAGCCTTCTGGTTAGCAGTCATGTGCCTTAGGCAATATGCTACCAGAGCCCCTGTATATTCAGGTGGGATGTGGAGTGGCCTGGAGAAAGAGAGGCTATATTGTAAGAACTAATGGTTATTGAGCTATTCCCAGATGTGGAGCTAAGTGCTTTATGTACATTATGTCATTTAGTCCTCACAGTAGCCCCAAGAAATAGGGACTATTAATTTTCCATTTTCCAGATGAAAAAACTGAATCTGAGAGGTAAAGTGACATCCAAGTTCCCACAGTGAACACAGAGGGTTCCAGGATGTGGACTAGATTGATCCAGCTTTCCTGTGCTTCCTCTGTATACCTTAACACCTGCCTGTAGCCCAGGAGACAACTTGGGGCAATTTTATAGTTCAGATATGATAGTCCAGGTGAGAAAGCCTGAACCAAGTCAGGAGTGGTGGGAATGGAGAACGGAAGCAGCCATGTCGAACATCTTTATATGGGAGCCTGATCCCGGGGCTGAGACCTATGATTTCAGAGCCTTCAGCTGTCTGTAGATATACTCTTTCTTTACTTAGTATTTCTCTGGAAACTGCTACTCAGTGATGAGAACTTTGCCAAGACCGTGGTGGGTGGCATGATGGAAAACCTGCCTCTAAATGTCTTAAGTAGCTTAGGCTTCTTGTTTTCCCACTCAAGGAAATGTATTAATTTAATGTAAGTGCTGAAATTGGTTGTGTTTGGTTTGTCTTAGAGAAAGGAGCCCTGGTGGCACAGTGGTTAAACATTTGGCTGCTAACTGAAAGGTTAATGGTTCAAACCTATCAGCTGCTCTGTAGGAAAAAGAAGTGACAGTCTCTTCCCATAAAGATTACCAGAACCCAAAGCCAGACCATTGCCATCAAGTCTATTCCAACTCATAGCAACCTTACAGGGCAGAATAGAATTACCCAATGGGGTTTCCAAGGCTATATAGTCTTTATAGAAACAAACAGCAATGGTTGTTATCTTAGAGATGGTTTAAGCAAACTTCCAGATGTTTGCAAGCATATGAAGCTTAATTACTGGGGTTGGAGACAAGCAGATTCCTACAGAGGTTTGCTGGTCATTCTCCCCTCTGTACGTGATCACCCTCCCTCATCTACTTGTCTAGGTTTGTTCCTAGTGACTTACGTATTTTGCTACATGTGGGTTGATGTATCACAGAATTATGTAATTTGTTTTACTTTCATTTCTAAGTTTTTCTTTTCTTTCTTTTTTTAAAGTAAAAGGAAGTGCATGCATTTTTCCCCCTACAAAGCTTTATGATGCACAGTTCCATGAATGTGTAATGCAAGTGTCCTGTATGCAAGTGTCCTAAATCACCCAGGGCAGTGTGGCCCAGCCCAGTGACCTCCCTGTACTGTGTCTGCTGCAGGTGATAAGAAGTACATCATGGGACCCAAGCTTTCTACTCTCGACGCCACTGTTTTTGGGCACTTGGCACAGGCAATGTGGACCTTACCAGGGACGAGACCTGAGCGGCTGATCAAAGGCAAGCCTTACCTCTTCAGGTTTTGGGGGTCACTGGGTGGGAGAGTGTGGTATAGTAAATTACTTTGTGTGGCTTTTCTACCCATAAGTCTTTGTAAACTCCAAGGTGGGATTTGCTATGAGCAACTCAGGAGCTCCTGATTGCTGAAGGTGTCCACCTGGAGTATTTCTGTTGGGAGTGGCACAAAACAATGTTCTGGGAGGTGCCCACTCTCTCTCAGGTGCTTAGAGTTCTGATGCTATAATTGGCTAGTTTGATCACCCTGCCGGGCTCAAAAGGAGGCCTCCTAGAGGCAGAACTCTCTCTGACTGCTGGTGGAGGAAAACGTGCCGCTGAAAGAGACACGTGCCCCAGAAAGAGACACGTGCTGCTGGGGAAGAGACGCAAGAGACACACATTGCTGAGTGAGACACCAAGGGACCAGCACTGCTGGGAAAGAGACTGTGAGAGACTGTTGGCTGAGTGAGGGACGGTGGGCTGGGAGAGAGACTGAGCATTTTTCCTGAACTTGAATTGTAGTCTGGTGCTTCCCTAATAAACCTCATAATCTGTGAGCTCTGTGTGGCCACTGCAGCGAATTATCGAACCCAGGAGAGAGGTGGTGGGTGCTTTGGGAGGAACGGTTGGTGAAAGGGCTGGAGGGAGGCAGCATGTCTGGCCTTGCAGTAATAGGCCTTGCGCTATTGATGGTGATTCTGCCTTCCTCTTGTGGGATTAGAGGAGGTCAGAACATGTGGCCTCCTTGCCGTTTTTGCAAAGAGGTAGCACAGTGGGGTATTCAAGGCTGTTGCCTGTGAGCTTGGCTATTTTATGGAGAGAACAGGGGAGTCTGGGCCAGGGTCAAGTCTCTATGCTTAGGACATGTAGGGGTGGAAGAGACACCTGCCTTACCCAGACTATGTTTTCAGCAATGCTGACAAAAATGCTGGCATGTTTTACACTAGAGCTTTTCTTCCAACTCTTGAAATAGTGGGACTTAATACTTGTTGCTGAAACAAGGCTTATATTTCACATACCAAAAAAAAAAAAAAAAAGCCAAACCCACTGCTGTCAAGTCAATTCCAATTCATATCGACCCCCATTGGGTTTCTGAGGTGGTAAATCATTACAGAAGTAGATTGCCCAGTCTTGCTCCGTGGAGTGGCTGGTGGATTTGAACCACCACCTTCTGGTTAGCAGTCAGATGCCTTAGGCTCTATGCCACCAGAGCTTCTTACATTCCATATGGCACCCTTGTTTTGTTGATCTTCTTTAATTTCCTTTGGGCCATTGTGGCTCATTGTTTCCTGGTGTATTCAGTGGGTCTCAGACTGATGAATTCACTGCCCATTTCAGATATTCTCTTTTGAGTTTGAACTGGTTTTGGATCTTTGCCATGTAGGTCTGTGCATGTGTGATTCAGTGCCGTTTGAGTTTAAGGCACTCCTTCCTCTCTTCCGGTGGGATGTTATTGGTTGCACACTGAATGAATAGAGTTTGAAATTCGAGATTGTGGGAGAACAAGTGACATGTCAACAAATACTTTGTAGGTCTGCTGCTATGCAAAGTATTATTATTGTTACATGTGTATTTTGAACAAAGAAACCATCTGGGTATCATTGCTGTGCAATCTTGGCTGTAAGTTTTACCAGACTTAAAATTCCAGACTGGCGAGGAAAAAGATAGGAAATGAGGAAAAATGGGGCCAGAGCCAGTGGGTGGGCCTATGTGTGAGGTAGGGATAGTAGCCAGGAATAAAATTCATAGTGGTCATGGGGACAGGAAGTTAGCTTAACTTCGGTTGGTGTAGAAAAACTAGATCTTTGGGGTGTGTGGGTAAGTGTATAGTGAGAGGTGGGATGTACATGGCTGTAGGGCCCTTTGGAAGATATGTCTTCTGCATAGGTAGGTGGGAAATGTTTGAAGTCATCTCTAGTTGGAAGCAATACCTAAGTAAATAAATGCCTGGGGGCTAAAGGTATGGTAATCAAAGTTTAATAAAGTTTATAATTAAGAAGGGAATTGACAATACTTAATCAAGGTATTCAAGCCCTAACCATTCAGGTTGAGGGTGTAGATGAGATCACTAGTGAATAGCACATAAAATGCTCTCAATAAATGTTTGATGGAGGGATGGATGGAACCAAGAAAGATATCATACAGGAAACTGAGGTAGGTGAGAAGTCACATGTGATGGTAATGAGTGGGAGGATGGGAGGTTGTTGAAGGCTACAGCTGTGTGTGTGTGTGTGTGTGTGTATTTGTGTGTGTATGTGTCCTCATGTGCACTCCCAGGAGGTCAGACCAGGATGCGGGTAGCAGGACTCATTCTCTTATTGGTGGGGATGGGGTGCCAGTATATTACCAGATGTGGTGAGAGTAGCACAGGCAGTGGTTGAAAAATCTTCCAGGGCTTCAGCTGAGTGTGGTTAGGGATAGTAGGGACCAACATTTAATATCTTGAGTGATCAGCATGAAGATGTTCCTTGTCTTGGGATATAATTATCTTAGTTGAATTACGTTATCTAAATTGAATGTCATCATAAATGTAGCATTTAAAATACTTATTTACCTTTATTTTAATCAGGTTTTTCATGGTCATCAAAAGGTATTGATTCTTCTTTTCTCTGTTTACTTACGCACATGTTTTATATCCACACTTTCTTCCTGGTTTTTCCTACTCTGCTCTTTCTGTTTCCCTCGACGCACCTATACCCTTGCTTCCATCTATTCACATACTTCTGTACACACATACCCCATATACCTACATGTACACACACACCTAAATGCCTATCAAACACCCCTACCCAGATACACTCTCCCCACGCCCTATATACACAAAAGACACAAACTATTGAGGTTCTTATTATTTAATCAGAAGCATTGAGTTTTCTGTTATTAGTATAACTCTCAAACTCTATAGAATCCATTTTTTTCAGAAATAAAGCATTTATTTGTTAATTTATTTGAATAGCTTTACCTCCATTACTTCCTGAAAGAACTTGAGGCATTTAGGGCACTTTTAAAGAAATGGTCAACCTTTTTGTCGATTGATTTTGGGTTTCATGCTGAGACATACATATCTGAGGGAATCTGACCCCATTGTCTCTGAGGGGCTTTACGGATATATTTAAATGAACTTTGTTTCTTTAAAAAGAGGATGGCTGTTTTCCACCTGTCCCTGCAGCTGGTATAACAGGAATCATTAAAATCCAACAAAAATTACTAAAGTTCATTTTAGTTGATAATTCCATGTCTCTTCTAAGCATTTTGATCTGAGCTACTATCAAGCAGCCAAATTACTAAAATTGTTTCAATTTTTTTCCCTGTTTTTGTCCTCCTTTTGTGGTAGAGACTTTACCAAGAAGTGACAAGGAGAAGTGGAAACAACTAAGAGCCTGGATAATTTAGAATTGACTCAAGCCTATAATTCTGTAGTAATTATTGTTGTAAATACGCACTCTTACTCATTTCTGGTTGTTTCCTCAGGCTAAATTCCTAGTTGTAGAATTACTATCTCAAAGGGTATAAGCCCTTTTAAGGCTCTTGGTCTATATGGCTAAATTGCTTTTTAGAAAGACCATAGCAGTTTACATTCCCACTAGCATTTCCCTCAGAGTTTGGTCAGATATCTTTTTTCCTGGATCAAGGTTGAGTATTACTTATTTTGAGATTTTTGCCATTTTTACAGTAAAAAAAAAAGAAAAAAAAAACTTACTTTTATTAACAGTGGCACTCTTATGATAGAGGCAGGTTTAATATTTTAATCATTATGTCCTTATTAGAGAATTGAATGTGGGTTTGGGCAGTATTTAAAACTGAAGTGGAAAACTGAAGAAAGCCTAGAAATACGAAATTGAAGCAATTGAGGCAATGAGGCAAGAGTTCAGTGCATCTGCTGGCCTTTAAGCCACGCCAGACCACAGAGCTCAATGCTTTTCTGAATGAGTATGAAACACAGCCTTTTGTGTTCCAGGAAAAACCTCATTCAGCATCTCTTTTGCCAACAGTTATCGACTTGGGTGGCTGTTTCGTTCATCATCGTCCTGGGAAGGTGTATAATTGTATACCCCTGTCTGTTTTGTTTCTATCCAGAGTGTTCAGGAAGAGGTCATTGTGGAGGATTTGGGGCTCAGGAAAGGGCTGGACCAGATGACCTCTGAGAATCTTTGTATTTTGAGAATTATGAAGTAGGGTCCTTTAGCTTCAAGGGGAGAAAGTGAAAGGGGTGTCCTCATTCCCGCATTCGAGTGTGTTGAGAAGTTTTCTGAAGAGAATGCTGCCCAGTGCCCTTCCTGCATATGCGACAGACACTGAAGGGAGCAGCCAAGTCTGTGGCCAGCACCTAGCCTGACTCTGGTACTGGAGGGTGCCCAGGAAATACTTGTAGCCCAAATGAATGTGTTTGTGGTGTCAGCCCATGTTTTCCTTGGTTAGTGACCAAGGGCTGGGCAGGCAGATGGTGCTGGGAGCTCTTGGCAGGCTTTACTTGCACTCCCATTCCTGCCATTTATGATTGACAGCTGGGAGAAACTGAGTCCTGGATTCTGGGTTGGTTGACAATATTTTCAGGGTCAAAATAGACAGAGTATTTTTTATTGTTAGACACACACACACACACACACACACTGATTCCACATAACCTATTTCTACTGCCAACCTCTAGGTGTTAGCATGTTGAATAGATCACCTGATGGAATGTAGGCACAGAAGGGATCGGCAAAGGCAGATAATGGTAGAACCCAACTATAAATGTTCACTCTTCCTTTGCAGGCCATCAGAGGCAGGATATGACTGTGTATGTATGAGTGTGTGTATAGGGGCGTTTGAGCTTCCAGTCCTTGCTCATTAAAGCATACCCTAAAGTGATCACATCTTTCTTGACAGCTCATTGCCATTGAGGTGTGGTATCTGTTCTCTCATAATTCTTGAGCCCTCAGGAAGAATTAAAGAAAAATATCCAGTGATGGTAGCATGAAGCTCTTAGTTCCTTAGCCAACTCATCAATAGAGAGCAGAACA